ACCCTGGCTGGCTGATAAAAGGAGTCGTTCTCTGTAGCTCAAATGGTTAACTCCCTGCCTGGGAGGCAATAGAGCCCTGGTATGCCCAAGTATGATAAAAAAAAGATTTTATATATATATATATATAATTTATATTTATATTTATATTTGTTGTCTTTCTTTCCTAGTCATGGACTAGAAAAAGTGCTGTTTATCTGTCTCTTATGCCAGGATATTATTGCTATGATTGTTGTTATTAAACATTGTTATTCCTACTAACCTTATTTATACAGTGGCAATGTTTACTTTACAAAGCAAACAAATATGTTTTGTGGATTTCAATCTGAGGGCAGCTGAGGGCTTTGCTTAAGGTGAGGGCTCTTATTCCATTTTGTAAAATTGTGTTTAATAGAGCTGCCCGTGTGGTTTTATATAATACCTGTAGTTATTAAGGCAATTGCCATGTTATGGCTCAGGGCTGCTCTTCATTCAAAAGAACTCGAATGGGAGATCTTCACTTACTGTGTGTGGACCAAGTAAAATCCCACCACAGAACCAAGGACACTCGCTGGCTAATTGGGTGGAAGCTTCCATTCTTCTGTCATTCAAACCCCAAGAGACGGACAAGTAGACAGTGAAAACTGAGCCAGATCGATGATAGTACAGCTGCGAGTTCTCTGTTTCAGTTTCAGCCATGACAACGATGGAATGTGCACCTCCTTGAATCATCAGCCTGGTTGGTCCTGACAGTAAGGATGATTCAACTGGATGCAACTGGTTCTATTTTAAAACTGAAGAGAGCCTGCCAATATTCTGACACTTCCCATCAAAAGGAAGGAACTAGAATTATCTCTCCTCAGAAGCCAACAGGCTGGACTCTTTCTGAAACTGATGGGATTACAGGCCAATCTCCCAAAGGCCAGAAAGATAGGCATAGTCTTGATCTACCAGGCTGATATTCATATGTCTGGGCTGGGCTCATAGGCAAGCAAATCCAATTTATTTCCCCAAATAGCAGAGTTGCATTTCACAAAGCAATATCAGCATCCCATTCTATGGTGTGACCTTCACTAGAATCCGGCTCTCCCATTAAAGAGCTTACTGGCTGATTTCTGCAAGTGTTGGACCATACCTAGAATGTTCTCAGACAATGTATTTTTTAATATCCCGGTTTTGGAAAAGTTCACATCTGTTCGCAGGTCTTTATAGTTTACAGTTATAGTTTATAGTTTTATTGATTTGTATGCCGCCCACTCCCGAAGGACTCCAGGTGGCTTACAATAAAACAAGGGAGGGGGAATAATACACAAACAACATTAAAATATACAACAATCACAATCTCTGGGGGGGCTGAATATTTCGAGAGCCCCCCGGCCTGCTGGAGCAGCCAGGACTTAACAGCTTTGCGGAAGGCCGGGAGGGTAGTAAGTGTCCGGATCTCCACGGGGAGATCGTTTATAATAGTAAACAATGTGTGCATTCAAGTAAAAAGCAAACAACTTCATATCTGGGATCAAGCCAAGATAAAGAAAGAAAAACCCCAATCCTCCCAGCTGTGTGGAGTACAGGTCA